TCCTCCCCGCTTCGCCCCCTCCTCCCTTCCTCGCCCCCTCCCTCCCTGCCTCGCGCCCTCCTCCCTGCCTCACCCCCTCCTCCCTTCCTCCCACCCACACCAGCGGTCATGGCAGTTCAATGGGATGCAACTTTACTCCTGGGTGGAGAGGAGTGCAGCACAGAAATGACAATTTCCTTACCGTATCAACAGCGAGAGTACTGATGCTGTCTGCATGGCCGTGTAATGTGTAAACACAAACACATTCGTCAGTGCGAAACACCTACAAAAAAACAAACTGTTCAATTTTCGCACACCGTAGTATGTGCATTTCATCTGACTTGCAATCAGATTTGTAGCAGTCACCTATCTGTCAAAATTTCGAATAAACGTTTGAACTAGAGTTCTTTTTTAAGGCAGAGGGACTGGCTACACAATGAAAGAGCCCAACTTCCCTGTTCCTTAATGCAAAGATAACCAGCTGTTAAACGCAACACAGAGTCTACAAACCTTGAGTGTTCTGTCGTGACTTCCAGTTATGACCCGACCTGCCATGACACCCAACACACAAATAGGCTGATGGTGAGCCCTAAGTTTGTGACTAATCCTGCACAGCGGAGACTCCGGTGAAGGATACGCGTGTAAGCCATTGACGCCAATTGACGTAGGATCTCTACTTTGTGCTACCACCGGAACGTCGCCTGATTTGGTATTTAATTTTCGGGTAGTCCTTGGAGAGGAACGCTTTATTGGGGAGCTCTCCAAAAGGGGCACGTTTAAGTCGGCTCTGCAGGGAGTTCCGAGAGTCAATAACTCTAAAGTGCCATCCAAACGGGCCGCAACAATCTGTGGACTGAAACAGATGGGAAGAAGCAACTGAAGTTAGATATTCATACTGTGCAATCGTTTGCGTGAGACACATTTTCTATTTACATTACCTTCCGAGTAAAAAGCTGAGTTTTGTCACGCCAATGTTACCCTCGCGTGAAACACAAATCTGCGTTCCAGATAGCAAACTCCATATCTGAAAACCGATAATAACAAAAAAATAAAAAATAAAGACGAAGCATACGGAACATTTTAATTATTTAAACCTTAATAACATGGTATTTAAACAAAGTTTAGCCGTTGTTTTACAAAACCGCGTTCTAAACTGTCTTGAATTTAGCTGAATCTTTTATCTGAAAAATTATTTTTGTGAACAGTGTCAAGTAAACCGAAAGCTACCAGTGGAAGGAAGGACATTTATTAAATGGAAACAACACTCTTAAAGATAATACGTAAGGCCCACTTCTTGCGTAAAACCGCGGTTTGGGTTCGACCTCGTCTTAACAACCCGGCCAATGAGTTTCGTTGGATCTAGGGTGACCTGACCATTATCAGGGGGACATACAACAAGAAAATTAGTAAAAAATATATTCAAATAATTATTAAAATGATGATATTGAAACAAATTTAACTGCTTAAAGATACCTCGATTGTTCCATCACTACAGCCGATTATCATCAAATCATCTTTACAATCAACACACCACACCGAGGCTCCGTTAGATCGGTCGTCATGGTAACTATCACTCTGCACGTGCACCTCAATTTTGACTTGTTCATCGCACGATCCTTCAGAACTCGATAGCCATCCAACATCATCTCCATCGGCGCTCGACCACGAACCGGCGAAGGAACCCCTGGAACTCACTCGTGATGGCCACAAGGAAATGTCCACGTCGGTAGCGTATTTGCTGAAGTCGTACCCTGTTGATTTTGGACTCCCACTTGAAACATGCGATGGGTCCTGCGAATATTCGTAATTTTCAACCTCGTTTTCTCCAGGTTTCGCTTCATGTATTGTTAAATACCGTACCCCATCTCTTGTCTCGGCACCATTTCCATCCGTAGTAAAGGGGCGAGAGGTCGCACATTCGAAGTCCGATGGAGGCCTGGGGCTGACATGCGCATTAGAAGCAAATACGTTGTCTATAGACCGGTGTGTTGTGTAACAACTGTCTGCATCAACAATCCACCTCTGCTTTGACTTCTTTCGCTTTGGTTTCAGCTTGGGCGAGGCATCTGGTTGAAATGGACTGCGAAAAAATATGAATTTTTTCAACTATTCCTTTCGAAAGGAATCGGCTCTGGAACTGACCAGCAATGCCTTAGTGCTAGATTATGACCTTCCACTCTCTATAA